GGCAATGATTGATAAACAATTATGGTCTTAATTTACAGAATAAAGAAAAATTATTTTTCTTTTATCTTTCAGTGCAATCATAGAATCATAGAAATAATCTAATGACAGATCATCCAAAAACCATAACAAATTTTAATTTAACCAAAACTCTATTTCTATTTCAATCTCAAGAGGAAGAGGAGTGTCCATCAACAAACTGTAGTTCTCCTCGTATTCCTCATATTTTACATCAAATATATGCGGATGAAATGATTCCTGAAATATATCTTAGACTCGTCAAATCATTTATCAACTTCAATCCGACATAGGAGTATTGATTCTGGACTGATGCCTCTGGTCGTAAATTGCTTCAAACAAATCACCCATATTTTTGTTCATGTAGATGATAAATTTGGGAAAAAACGTCAAAAGATCCGATATGCTCAGGTACGCAGTTCTATAACAGTATGGCGGATGATTTTACGCAGATTTTGACTTGGAAAATTTCCGTTCACTTAACAAAACGACATTATAATACGCGTGCATATTTCCTGTGGAACCATTTGAGCATAGTGCTATATTGTACAGCAAGTCTTTTCTGATAAACAACGCATTTATGGCTTGTCGCCCTAGGCATCCTTTTCTGAAGTTGCACACAGCCAATCCAGAAGGCAAACCTTTTGAAACTGCCGGACCTGAATACGTTACATTAAGGTGTTTATTCGTTATAATCACATGGAGAATATTTCAACTCAAATGATCAAAACGGACTGGTCCAGCAATTCTCCAATGCATACTTTTATAAAGGAGAGTTACAAGAGATTGATAATGATGCTGTATATGTACCTAATTCACAGTATTTCATGGATAAATAGATTCTATCCATTTATATACAAATGGAATGTTTATAAAAAAATATGTAAGAGTTTTAGAAATTTATCAAGTCTTCAACAGAAAGCCTGCAGAGAACTTTCTAGCAGGGAAAGGACAAGAAAAAGTTGAAATTTTACTTATACAGTAATCATTGGTATCATTTTTGCTCAAGAAAGAGGAACTATACAGAATGAACAAGATTAAAATAAGTTTGATAGTGCCAAATTATATTCAATATTTTGATGAATGAACTTATGATGCATTTATTATAAGCCAGAATTCTGAAATAAATCATGCTGGAAAATCATGCTAGAAAATGTAAAGTCTTACAGTTGTTTATATCACTGGAAAGTACTCATAGCAAGTCGCTTAAAAGATGTTATAGTGTCGTCCGTGGTCGAGTGGTTAAGTAATTGACTTTAAATCACTTGCTCCTCACCACAGGCTAATTTTTACTTGTGCGGAAGCTGTCGTTGTAGATGCCGAATATAAAACACTTAAAAATATTACGAAAATTAATTCTATCACTCCCGATTTTTTTTCGTAAAGCAACATATGAATTTACAATATTTCAAAACATTCTTATTCTAAAAACGAAATTCTTTCATGAAAGGCGTGCGAGAATGACGACATTTAAAACATCCGACTTGCCTTAAACAAATTAGGGGTTATTTAGGAAAGATTTTTCTAGTACCGGTGTAAACGGTAGTTAATCCTGTTTGACATGCAATTCTAGATCCAGTTCTAGATCCAGCAGTTCCTAGATTTTTCAGTATAATATTGTCATGGCATTGGTTGGTTTTTATTTCACCGCGTTCTTTAAAGTGTCCCCGTACGTTTAGTCAAAAACGGTCATATAATTTTCAACATTTTTTTTAAAATACGTTGTAACAGCATTATAAGACGACAACAACAAAAACAACAACAACAACAACAATTAAACATCTTAAAATATACTGATAATATAAACTGAAGAAAAAGAATTTCTCGAATTAAGAAAAAAGATTAGGTATAACTGGATTTTGGTTATTCTATGGTCTACTGGTAATAAACATAATTGTTGATCAAAGATCATTTATAGCGAAATACTGCGCAGTAGTTTTAATATTAAAGTTAAGAAACACACACAAATATTCGTACACCAATATCAAAATTTACAGTGGCATTCATTTAAGGTATATATGCCGCATGTGCCGGGTATTAAGTTGTTGAACTTAAGGACTTTCTGTTCTTGCTGCTCTTTTTGATGTGCGTGTGCTCCCGAGACGTCCGCTACTTATAGAATCCCGGAATTGCAACACAAAAAGACTTCCTTCGTTTACAAAGAATATTGTGCTTTCAAACATGGAAAAATTGTGATCCATCGGAAGCGTTAATATCAACAAAATTACATGAAAATTGCATACTTGGTTTGATTGAGTTACTTGCATCGCTATAAAATCTTGCTGTGCTTATTTGTCTAGCTGTACTACGGGCTTAGATTTTTTGCTTTCCTTTGAGGTTTAAATCGGATACAGTGACGCTATTGTGAAGTAAAGTACAAAACAAAACAAAAATTCAACCTTAAGAAAATGCCTTCTATTACATTAGAACATTTTAGAATACGTTTAATCCTGTTAAAGACAGCAATTCCGAATATATAGAACATTCCTAGAGTCTTCTTTTAACAGGTCAATTAATTGTATACTTCGTCGGTGGTATCAGTTCAAGGAATACACCCATTGACAGTCTCTATATGAACAAGGTAAATAACCGAGGTATATCGAGTGAAAAAATACAAGTTGTTTCTCTTATCTTCGAGTAAAATCGATATCTCTAATGCTAAAACGATACAAGTTTAGCCCTTTATAAATCGCTAGTTTGGGGCGATTTAATGTCCATTTTAAAATTTATTACACCAATGAAAAAGCTTGTGATCTCGTTTGACACGAAAGGTATTTAAATTTAAGGATAAACCTACCACAAGTCAAAACATTTTACATACGATTTATACAGTGAGATACGCAACCGGTTATCTTTACTCAGTAAGAACAGCCTGTCGTCTGCCAGTTCGGAAACTGTCAATCGGTGTATTCATATCAAATAATTCATGACAGTAGTGACATGAGAAATATAAAACTACTTACAATTGGTTTACTGCAATGTCAATACTTATTTGTTTTTAAAGTGATATTTTCCAATTTATATTAATTCACTCTTGTGCAATTTGAAACCGAAATTGAAATAATCATGATTTCTTTTACTATATTGCCGTGACGTCAAAAAGGTCCAAAGATTTATATATTTCACATTCACTGTACATGTTTTCGTATCAAAATATCAAGAATAAATATGAATAGGACTTTTAAGTAGCAAGAAGATAACGAATATCATGAAATCAACATATTAATGTTTAAATTTGATCACAAATTATTTAAATTTTGTAAAAAATGAATTGATTAAAAAATTCATTATCAAGTATTCTAACATATTAATGTTTATATTTGATCACAAAGTATATAAATTTTTATAATAAATGAATTGATTAAAACTTCATTGCTACCAGTTTAAACGTGTTTTAGCCATACCCATTATCTTTCATCATCATTGTCTAGAACCCCAATGTTTTGTGTTCCACTCCATTGCAACAAATCGATCTTATAATATATCGGTTCTGTAATACGTAAAAATCAATAACCCAGACACAAAGGCTTAAAATTGCTTCATTATTAAAATCGAGCTTTCCTCTGGCTAAAATGAAAACATGTGTTTTGAAATGTTTTAATAATTGATTAAGAGCATGTTAAATGCTTATCAGCTACAATAAATGTATGTAGTTGGTTGTGAAATTAATTTGCTTTTAACGTACCAGAATGTTTTGCCTTCAGATACACTATTTTGTATAACTTAATGGCGAAGTAGCTAAAGATTATTTTGGAGAATATAAGAGGTCACAAAACTAAAAAAAAGCAGTTTGTGAAATGAAATTGGTAAAATTTTAGGACTGAATGAGCTTTTGAATTGCAAATGAAACAACCAATGACGTATTAATTTGAGGAGATAACAATGAAAACAAAGCAAATAGCTGACACTTGCAAACTCGGTTTATCCAAAATTGAAGATATTAAATGTTCAGCAAATGAATTCATATCTGTGAATGTTTTTTAAGTTAAATTTTTCACCAGGTAAACTTCTGCTTAACTTAAGCAGGGGCGTGGACTGTAGACTGAATTTTAAACTACCTTCCACAAATAGGCTCAATAAAACTGAATCTATAACAGTTTCAATTCTGCCATTTTGACATTCTTAAATGGCTTCACTCACAATAGTATGAATACATGGAACGGATGTCGTATTTCGGGTTATAGTTCTTACAAACCAACTTCCCGATTTTAGGCTTTAGACAACCAAATACCCCTACCAATCGGATTTAACGGTATCAACGGCATTGATGACTGTAAATAGTCAATATCTTATGATTTGGTTACTTTTAATGCTATCTCAGATGTATTATTGTTTTAAATTTTTTTACCCTCTGTAGGCCAGTGGCTTTAAGAGATTAAGATATTGTGCAAGGTATGATTGTAAATTTGTTTAACGATGCTTTTTTGCTTGCATATCTAACATTTATCAGTCTATTTGGCTGCTGCAACATTGCGTTCTCAAGAGTCAATTTCTTGATCTTTTTTATATATGCAGATAAGATAAGATTAATATAACTCATACGGGAAATGTTAGGATTTTTTTTACTTTTCAGCAAATAAGAATAACATTGTACTACATTCTACGGGTATTTGATTAAACATACTATCATAAACACAAAGCTCATCATAACATTTTTTTAATCTACGATTCATTAAGAAATCAATATAATTTGGGACCAAAAATAAATCAAATGTATATTTTTGGTCCCAAATACATGTATAATATAATGTTATTTCCACATGTACACAAATATTTCAATCGATATGAATGGCATGTTTTGATAACCAGAAAATTATGACTCAACAACATTTCTTCTAGATTTTATGCACAACAAGAAGTTCTTAAGATATAGTATTCAGTTGTGTTACTTTTGTGTTTGTTTCTCCATATATGTCTGTAAAAATAAAAAGCGCCATTGACTCTATCTCCATTGTATTGAGCGTCAGTCTTTATTTGTTGTAAAAACGGATATTTTGGGACAGAAACCTATAAATACTTTGTTTTTATCAAAATGCTTATTAAATATGTTGGATCGAAAATCATTATGAAATGTGTCTGTTTGAATATACATGTTACCTTATAACATCAATAACTGTGAGCAGCTGTGACGGGATTTGAAAATGTTCACGGTTTGTTAGGAAATGATAGGATATAATTGATTCACAAGAAAAACAGATAATTAATAATTTACCTTAAATAATACCTGTTTGCGACGGAAGGTTGATAACAATCACAAAGCCGGTTGAAAGAATCGGACACGTAACAACAGGTGGCATATGCTGTTATTTCGCCAACAGGCATAATTGAGTTATGTAAGGTAGTTTTAAAACAATTCCAAAGGATGATATTCTTTGTAGTGCATGGCACAAGAAATCGCTTACATTTTGTAGTTTTGGTGATTGGCTCAGGAGCATATTTTTATTGGATATATAGTTTGAAATATCATGAATATAACTTGAAAGAAAATGGTATACATTTGTATATATGTAAATTTTATTATTTCATTATTTTCTGCTTATTATTTATTTATTTATTTATTTTATTAGTTGTGCCCCCACTTAAGTGGCGAGCATTTCAAGTTACCCTTGTCCGTCCGTCCGTCCATCCGTCCGTACAAACCAGAGCTACATTATGGGGTTTGGTCTATTGTTCTCATAACAATAGATGTCTTTGATGTCATTCATTCCGTTTCTCTTGTGGGGTTATTTTCTGCATTGTGGGGTTAAAAAGAACAAGAGAAATAACAAAAGAAAACCCAATAATGTAGCTCTGGTAAAAACATCCGTACGGACGTCCGTCCGTCCGTTCTCTTTTGTGTCGCACGAAACTCAAAAAGTATTTGACCGAGAGTCATGAAACTTTACAGGAATGTTGATCAGCATGTTTAGCTGTGCACCTGGGTATTTTCGTCTGGATATTTTTAGTATTTTAGAGTTATTGCCCTTGACTTAGTAAAATTTTGCAATTTACAACTTGTGTCGCATGTAACTCAAAAAGGATTTGACCTAGAGTCATGAAACTTTACAGGAATGTTGACCAGCATGTGTAGTTGTGCACCTGGGTAATTTCGTCTGGATATTTTTAGTATTTTTAGAGTTATTGCCCTTGAAATAGTAAAATTTTGCAATTTTCAACTGGTGACGCATGTAACTCAAAAAGTATTTGATTTGGCCTAGAGTCATGAAACTTTACAGGAATGTTGATCAGCATGTGTAGTTGTGCACCTGGGTATTTTCGTCTGGATATTTTTAGTATTTAAGAGTTATTGCCCTTGACTTAGTAAAATTTTGCAATTTTCAACTTGTGTCGCATGTAACTCAAAAAGTATTTGACATAGAGTCATGAAACTTTACAGGAATATTGATCAGCATGTGTAGTTGTGCACCTGGGTATTTTCGTCTGGATTTATTTAGTATTTTTAGAGTTATTGTCCTTGACTTAGAAAATTTTTGCAATTTTCAACTTGTGTCGCATGTAACTCAAACAGGATTTGACATAGAGTCATTAAACCTTACGGGAAGGTTTGTCAGCATATTTAGTTTTGCACCTGGGGTTTCACTTGTGGATTTATCCAGTATTGTAAAGTTATTTCCCTTGACTTAGTAAAAACCGTTTCATTATGTTGTTATTTGTTCCTTGAGTGCTTGAGTTAGAATCAACCACCTTTACAGGAATAATGATCAACATCACTAAATTACAGGAATAATGATTCACATCACTGTGAAGCTATGAACCTGGGACTTTGCATGTGGATTTTTTCAGTTTTGTAAGAGTTATTGCCCTTGACTTACAGTAGTATAAATTTGCAATTTTCAACTTGTTCATGCATAGCTCAAAAAGTATTTGACTTGTAGGCCTGAAAGTTTACAAGAAAGTTGGTCAGCATGTGTACTTATGCACTTTGGGGTTTGCTTGTGGATTTATTCAGTATTTGTAAAGTTCTTGCACTTTACTTAGTAAAAGAGTTTTAGTTTTCAAAAAATATTTGACCTAGAGTCATAAGATTGACAGAACAGTGGCGCAGTAGGGGCACCCGTGTCCTATGGACACATTATAGTTTTATGTGTAAGTTATAGTTTGTATTGATATTTTAGTTTTTTTACAGGCGTACAGATGTGTATATTTTATATTTTATATACACTTTATGTATATCTATGTATTATAAACAATGATCGGTATAATAATTAGTAAAAACTTTCATTTCTTCTTACACCCAGCACGGCATTTGTGTTTATCGTGCTTTATTTTAAAAATCAAACTGTCACAGAAATCTTGTACTGCATCCCGTACCGCTTTGCCGCTATGCCAAAAATTCCTCATACAGAGCATCGAACATAAATATCGTGTGTTTTTGCTATTCTGATAACGCTTGCAATTAATAACAAAAAATGCAATATTGAACATGAATCTTTAATCAAAGTTATTTTATCTTTACAGGCATAGCACCCCTAAATGTTCTTACCACAGGAGAAAGAAGTCTGATATTACAAGTTAACAAAAGGTTTACGATAAATTATGATAAACTAGTTGAAACAAACACACAAGACAAAGCAAACAAGCATGTTGTCAGTGAGCTCCCACTGTTTCAATCTCTAAAGGAAGAAGAATTTCCATCAACAGACACTGACGTCCCTCGTATTCCCCATATCATACATCATATGTACAAAACTGAAATGATTCCTGGAATGTATACAGCTCACGTTAAATCCTTTATTTATTACAACCCAACGTGGACATATCGCTTTTGGACAGATGAATCCGGTCGTAAATTATTACAGAAACAATATCCACATCTTGTAGATATATATGATAAGTTTGGCAATAACGTAAAAAGATCCGACATGCTCAGATACGCAGTTCTATACGAGTATGGCGGATTTTATGCAGATTTTGACATGGAAAATTTCCGTTCACTTAACATAACGACATTAAAATATGCTTGTATTTTCCCTGTAGAACCATTTGAGCACAGCGCTTTGTTATATAATAAACATTTTATAATAAACAACGCATTTATAGGTTGCCGTCCAAAGCACCCGTTTTTCAAGCTTTTATTGGTCGGCTTACAGAATGCTGATTTTAATGGAGACCCTGTCAGTACTACAGGTCCAGGATACGTCACTAGAAAATTCCTTGAATATAATAACATCAGTGTGTCATCTAGCGAAATGAACAAAACCGACTGGAGTAGCAATTCTCCCTATTTCTATAAGGGTGAATTAAAGGAAATTGACAAAAACGCCGTGTATGTGCCAAATTCACAGTATTTTATGGATAAGATAGATCCGATGCTTTTAGAAACGAATGGACAAATAACAAAAGCTTGTAAACATGTCAACACTTTAACATATCTTAAACAAAGAGCTTGCTTTGAACTTTTGAGGCGAGAGAAGATAAGAAAAAATAGATTATACACTTTCACAGTGCATCACTGGTATCATTTGTGGTTGATGACAAAAGATAAAATTCATAGTCTGAAAAGTACCAATATTAAAGAAATAGTCCCAAATTTTATTCAATATAACGGCTGAAATAAGTGCATGTTTATTGTTTAATTCATTGTATGAAAAATGTTTTTCTATAGATCGGTGCAGAGATTAAATTTTTTTTGCCAATTTTTAGGTTTCAACGTTAACTCTGTAACATTATAACATATTGTTGACTTGTTAAATGAACAACAAACACAAAATCAATAAAACATTTACATGTAAGTACAGAAATGTCTGTTTCATTTGAATGGACTGAATCTGATGGTACCTTTGTTAGGATCAAACATGAGCATCTGGTAATCAACATGTGTATGATGCGATTTTGTCATTGAATGTTAAGTATCCTAATGCAAATCGAGTTTCACGAGTATATCATTTTAAATTGATGACACTTTTAATTTAGCCTATCAAACTAGACACCGTTAACGATGTTAGATAAATAGAGCTTTGTTTGGCTGTACGGCCTACTTTAACGATCGTAAACTGCGTAACGAGAGTTATAAAGTTAACCTGCATTTAAGTCATCTTTAGTGACGTCGATGGTCATAAAATTATAAGGCTTATATCGGCTGTATACTGGGATGTTTCAATATTGCAATCTGAATTTGATAGTCAATGAACTGAATTAATTTAATTATTCATCATGAAGAACTTGTTACAGATTTGAACGATTGTTTCGATTATCATCGTTGAATGTCGCATTGTTCCATGTAACACATTTCAACAAACCTACAAGAATGTCCATATATGTCTATATATATGTTTTTCTGTACATACTCTTAACAAATCTAATAAGTGTGCATGTATAAATATCTTATAATGTGAGTCAATATTATTTATGTCATGCTGGAATTTTCAATATATACAGTTGAGAGACATAGTGTAATTATCCTTTTATTTATTTTTATAACAAACACAAATTTAACACGTATGTTCAATGAATGTGATTGTGCGTAAAAAAGTAAATATCGCAAAATTATTACATCCGTGATCTCTATTCTAAATATATACGTTGACTTTGATAACAACGTGGCAGTTTGACTTCTCGTTGTATCTTAAGAAATATTGGCTTGTAACTGGGTGATGGTCTGTTGCACTCCACAGGGAAGTTCAGGAAGACTGTTGACATTAAGAATGTGTTCATTAATAGTTATCTGAGCGCCTATCATAACTAATACGATGAGCTTCAAACTATGATTTTATTAATGTCTAAAGAACAACATATTATTGCAGTTTCTTCAGGGTATCTTACTGGGTATCTTACTTAGAATATCACCCAAATCTCTAGACTTGTTATAGACGTTATACGGAAATGTGAAAGAAGCTATTAAACTCGACATATACTTGAATTTTAAAACTTCAAACATTAACACTAGACAGATCAATCGAATTGAAATATTCCGTTTAGCCATCCATGTTTTACAATATAATTTTAATTTATTAGGCTACTTCCACATTATCAAAGTTTCAAATGTCACGACGGGATGTTTTTCTTTCTACGCTATTTCAGTTTTCTCTTAAAAACTATCCAAATAATGACGCCTTGAATACAAATATGAGGTATACGGTAGTGTTTTAATTCCCCTAAGTTTATCAAGTGAAAGTTGCTCTCTGTAACCAAAAATTCCTTCTTGTCTCACGAATCATTAAACGCTTTGGCTTTCACAATTCTTCAATTTGACCATTATAAATCGACGGAACATTAAAATAGCTCAAAGCGTTTTATTATTTTATTATTTGCATTTTATTTAGTTTATGAAGCCGCTGTATCCCCGAATTAATACAACAAAACACTTAAATGACAAAGTATCTTATATAAATTAAATGATTAACAATATTTACATGGACAATAAACTTTTGTCTTATTCCACCATCGTTTAAAACAGAAAATTGATCTTCTGTTGTGCAACTGAAAAAGTTACTGAAATTCGTTTCAACATCGTAACAGTTTCATTTACCTATACAGTGTAAATCTGTATATTGCGACACTAATTCATGTTAACATATATGGTAATGGAGGTTTGAGTTTGTATAACTTCAATAACTACAAACAGCTGTGGCAGGTTTTTAAATGATGAAATGATATGATACACAAGACAAAATATTTAGTTTATCATTTACCTAAATAATGTCTCTGTCTGATACTGAATGAATGTTAACAATAAAACAAAAGAACAAATGAAAAGAGAATGATAGTGCCAAATTATATTCAATATTTAAATTAACTTATGAAGTATTTTTTATAAGCCAGAAATGCTCTGTGTGAAAAATTGAATTTCCTCTGGTGCACGTATTTGAATTAAATCATTTTGGTGCTAGAAAATGTAAAGTCTTCATGTTAAAATTATATAATTAATATTTTGCAAATACCCATAGGAAGTTGCATTAAAAATGTAATAGTGTCGTCCATGGTCGAGTTGTTAAAGTCGTTGACTTAAAACCGTTTGCTCCTCACCGCTGGCTAATTTTTTCTTGCGCGAAAGCTATTGTTGTATATGCCGTACAGACAACACTGTAAGATATAACGAGAAACGAAAACTAATTCTATTATTCCGGATTTTTTTTTCTTAAAGTAGCATATGAATTTACAATATTTCTTTTAAAGTGGCAAAACGACGTCTTTCTAAAAACGCAATTCTCTCATGAAAGGCGTGCGGGAATGACGACATTTAAAACACACAACTTGCCTTACACAGGGTAGGGGTTTAGGATAGATTTTTCTAGCACCGATGTAAACGGTAGATAATCCTGTTTGACATGCAAGCAATATTACTGTTTCTGCAGTTCCTAGATTTTTCAGTATGATATTTTTATGGCATTGGTGCGTTTTTTATCACCGTGTTCCCGTACGTGTAGTCAAAAAAATCATATAATTTTCAACACTTTTTAAAAACGTTGTAACAGCATTTGAAAAAAACAAAAACAACACCACCCCCAAGAAAAGAAACACACAAAAACAACAATAACAACAACAACAACAATTAAACATCTTAAAATATACTGATATTATAATTGCTCAAAATCAGGACAAGGATAGGCATTATTTACTTCACGTTGGCTTTAACTGGATTTTGGTTATTCTATGGTCTACTGGTAAAGTTAAGAAACACACATATTTTATCATGAATATCAACGTCTGGAGCTGCATTTCTTACATATACCGCACGTACCGGGTATTAAGTTGTTGAACTTAAGGACTTTCTGTTCTTGCTGCTCTTTTTGATATGGGTGTGCTCCCGAGACTTCCTCTAGTTATGGATTCCCGGTATTGCTACACAAAAGAAGTTCCTTCGTTTATAGGAGATATTGTGCTTTAAAACATGGAAAAGTGTGATTCATCGAAAGCAATAATATTAACAAAATTACATGAAAATTGCAGACTTGGTTTGATTGAGTTACTTGCATCTCTATAAAATCTTGCTGTGCTTATTTGTCTAGCTGCACTACGGGAAGCAACATGCCCCTTAGATTTTCTGCTTTTCTGTGAAGTTTAAACCAAATACAGTGACGCTATTGTGAAGTAATGTACAAGACAAAATTAAAGTTTAGGAAACAGCGCCTTTTAGGCGTTATAAAATGACTGCCATTACATTAAAACATTTTAGAATACGTTTTATTCCGTTAAACGCAGCAAAATGTCGAATATATAGAATTCCTAGAGTCATCTTTAAACTGGTCAGTTTCATATAGAGATGAATAAGTGTAACATCTAAATCAACACATGATTTTTGATTATGGCCAATTGATCCATTTAAATAAGTAGATCATGGCGTAAAATGAGGTGGTATCAATTCAAGGAATTGTTTGTCTAAATATTCATATCAAATAATTCATCACAATAGTGACAGAAGAAAAAAATAACAACTACTTAAAAAAGTTTACTGCAACGTCAATACCTCTTTGTTTTTAAAGTGATATTTTCCAATTTATATTTAATTTACTCTTGTGCTATTTGAAACCGAAATTGAAATAATCATGATTTTTTTATTGTATTGCTCTGATGTCATAAAGGTCTTAAGAGTAGATTTCACATTCACTGTTTTCGTATCAAAATATTAAGAATAGATTTGAAAATTTAAAATAAGACTTTTTCAGTACAAGAAGATAACGATTATCATGTATTCTAACATATCTTTTTTTAAATTTGATCACAAAGTATTTAAATTTTATAATAAATGAATTGCTTAAAACTTCATTGCTACCAGTTTAAACGTGTTTTAGCATTACTCGTTATCTTTCATCATCATTGTCTAAAACCCCAATGTTTTGTGTTCCACTCCGTTGCAACAAATCGATCTTATAATAGATCTGTTCTGTAAAACGTGTAAATCAATTACCCAGAGGCATATACTTCATTTATAACCTAAATATAGGGGATCTTGTGTTTATTTATTAGTTGTTATATATGAGCATACCAAATCTCCCCATAACATGGCCATCACTACGTACGACGACCTGTGCTGTGATGATCCCATTCTAAGATTACGGTTATAAAAGTAATTATTTAAAGGTACTTTTTTAAAATGGCCAAGACGTTTTTAAAGAGTACCATCTTTTATCACAGGACACAAAGATTTAAAGAAAGTTTCAATAGTTACATATAAAAGTTACAGAATTCGCATACTTACGTGCGATAAAGGCATGTCAGGAACGTTTCTTTTCCATTTCAATGTGGGTTATCTGTATTTATAATTGTTTCCTATGTTATTTAATAATTACGCATACACTGGGTTGCATATTATTAATTACAAGTTTATAATTAGCAGAATTCGATATAAATTTTATAATTTCTACCGAACACCCGCTTTATAAGAATGATTTGATTTGTTTAGAAGTAATTGCCTCTTTTGTCCAGATTGGTAAAAAATTCTTCGTTTACAAAATTAGGAGGTCAATCAGATTTTGTTGAAATTTCTGCTAATTTTGGTCTGTCGCGCGGACAGTATAGAGATTTAGCAGGTGCTCTTTGCATTTCAATATATACGTGTTTTACTTATTTGTAGTTAAAAAATAGTAATATGTTATAAGCCTCCCTAATAATAAAATCCAAAATGCAATGTCTCTAACCCGTATTACCAGTATATATATACCTGTATAAATTTATAAAAACAGGTGTTAATAGTTGTCACCTGTTCAATTTCTGTTGAATGTAATTTCAGGTTTCCTACATTAACAATTTCATGTTTCAAATGTATATTAATTCCCTGAAAAAAGGAAGAGAAAACTCTATCCTTATACAATAAATATTTAAAGTAATCTTTAAGGGCTAAATTTAAAAAAACACATCAAAATTCATATATTAATCAAATAGCTATAGCATTTTTCCAATTTTGCCCATACTTTATAAATAATGTAGCCTATTCACTATGAGATGAATTAATTATACCTATTATTTAATTTTACCTATAAAATATGGTGCTATATCAGTCAAATATATTTCATATTTTTTAAAAATAAATATGAAATATAAATATGAAAGTGGGCGGAGTCAAAACTCATATTTATTTTAAGGGACTTCTTTCGCCATTTTGTTTGAAAAATCTGATAAATAAAACAACCTTTTTGTTGAATTTTGTTTTGAAAACTATCTAGAATGATAGAAAATGATCTAACTAAGAAAATAAATCGGAACACCAATATCTTTAATTCAGTCATTAACGCTGTACAGACGTTTAAAAAGTTGTTTATGTGACGTCGCAATCTAGCGCTAAATATCGCGTGCAAAACAAGACGATACTTATATTACTGCGCGCTGTATAATTGCAGTTGCGTAGCAGGCAAGGGGGTTCATAACCATTTTTCTTTGATAATGAAATTAAATAAAAAGGTTATTTTTTCGTTTTTTGTGAAATATGGTATATATTTTCACTCAACATGATAAAATGCCTCATATTTTCACTCGCCGTCCCGGCTCGTGAAAATATGTGGTATTTTATCATGTTTCGTGAAAATATATTCCATATTTCACTCAAACGAAAAAATATCCTCTTAATATTTAACCTGAAAAGTAATGAAGTAAATAACTCAATCAGATCAACTGTATTAATTAATGACTATATTTAATTGACTTAAAGAAGGAAATCCCAAATCAAAAATGTTATAGCAATTTCTCCTTGATGCCCAACTATCAAATATATGGGGAAAGGGTTCACATATACTAGTATTATATATACTAGGTCTTTATGTACAGTTATAAGGATAAAAAGGATAATAAGAATAAACACGGGGCGGGGGCAAAATGATATATACAATATGGAGTCTTTTTGTGACATTATGGGTAATCTGTAGCCAGTAACCCAATTTTGTGAATAACCATGAGACTGTATTGTAAAAATAGTCAAGTACAGAGCCTGTTAAAAAAACTAAACAAATTAAAACATGCAAAATATGTCGTTAAAAATAAACTTCCTTACAGCACCGTTTCACGGCCTCTTAGGGCCATTTTTAAAATAAACTCTTAAAATAGATACTTTACACTTTATACATAGGATATGTACTGACCCAAAAACATTAAGACATAAAACTATTTTATTGATATATAAATCGTACATACAGTATTCATTACTGTAATATATAACTCCGGGTATTTCTATAATGTTCGCGTCTTAACCTTAATAATTATATGTGTTTTTTTTCTGGTTAGACAACCTTATATTCCCTATAGAGTTTCTCTTTTGCACGGCATTATTCATATTTTAATAAATTTGATTGCTGGAAAAAATGCGAGCTCGCGGACATAACATTGACACACTGTTCGAGAAGATATCAGAATAGATGTACCAACCACGATACATAGAACAGTTTTCCCAAGTTAAAGAAAATCTTGTATAAATGTGAAATTAGATTAAGAAAGGATCGGGTTTCTTTGTTAATACAAAGATTAAGTTGATTACTAAACATTTTGGCAATAATATTAACATATTAATTGATTCATTACAATTTAAATGAAATTTACAATTTTGTTAAATTTTTTTTTAGCCGAACCAATATATTACATATAGTTTGTCCGATACATTTTGTCTCCTGTATTTTGATTGGTTCATTTACTATCCGATTTTGACTTTGACCTATGACCCGAATTTTATGTAAACTAACCATGCATATTATGTAATGCTGTAAAGTATGTGTGTATGTTTGAAAATACATGTTACCATATGACATCAATAAGTGTGAGCAACTGTGACGGGATTTGTAAATGTTCACAGTTGGTTAGTGATTCACAAGATAAACAGATAGTTTATAATTTACCTTCAATCATGTCAGTTATACTTGTTTGCTACGGAAGGTTGAGGGAATTGGACACGTGACAAGAGATGGCATATGCTGTTGTTCCGCCATCAGGCATCATTCCCAGCAAACACATGACGTTAAAATAACGTCGGATTAATGTTAGATTTTGGTCACGACGTCGGCGACCAAAATACGACGTAAATCTGACGTTAAAATACCGATGTCTAATAGACGTTTCTTTTTGACGTCGTACTAACGTCAGGTTCTGGTCGGTGTCCTGACGGTAGGTAAAAAAATAACAAAAAATAATCCCTATTCGCTGTTGTAATCATTTAAACTTTTTTTAAAATGTTATTTGGATTACAAAATGAAGTGTTCTTATATAAATACAAACCAAGATCGCGGCGCTGAAACCTAATAAAACATATAGGTGGCGCTGCATATAGGCAAGTTACATGTGTTATTGTTATGAAATCTATTTATAGCCACAGATCTGTTTACAAGTTCCAATCATTTAACGTTATAATATTATCATTTGTGGTACATTATATGTATCAAAATCACGAGTTTTTTTAATAGTGCTTTAACATTTAATCATAGTGACAGAAAAGGGAAAGAAAACATAATTAACCTATAATTCGAATCTAAAGTCACGTGGATGGAAATTCAAATTCGTAGGCGTTACGTTTTGGCTGTCGGTCAGGAATCGGGATGCATTGATAAAGTGAATATTATAGATTTTCTTGAACAAAAAGGTCAGTTCAATTTATTTAGATTTATTTCTACTTTGTATTTGATAAATAATTGCACGATTGCAAGCACTCTTAAATTTAATTATCATTATTTGAACAGCTGAAGTAAAATGTCACACAAATTCGCGATAATGTCTAATAATAAATCTTTTTAAAATTGACATGTTTTAACTCTGCTTGTGAAGAGTTTATAAAGTGCCTTTCAGTACTACCAAAGAGAATGCTTAGTTTTCATATTTTTCTTAAACTGTGATGTTTTTGTCAGTTAAAATCTGAGAATTGAGAATGAATTTGTACGATTTCGAGCATTTCGGACCAAGACGTTTCGGTCCCAAATAACCCAAAACGTTCCGGTCCCAAATAACCCAAGACATTTTGGTTCCAGACATTTCGGCATTAAATCTTTAATTTAAAACTATGAAATATTTAAGACTTGCGTAACTGTTCTATTTCAAACGTAGAATATATACATAAGTTAGAATATAATTTTCTTTTCAGGTAATTAAAGTGTTGGACATGCTCTCAAAGGTCGGAGGGACGGAAACACGTGAATATGTAAAAAGAAACATATGAAAGTAAGATTTTTGTAAATTCTATTACATACTTTAGTCCATACTAAACTGGAGTTTAAAAGCGGCTTTTTAAATGTTCAGTATTTATGTTTACTTTTAATTTTTGTTAAAGCTCTCTTATAAAAAGTTGGCAAAATTGTTCATTAAGTTTAGATAACCATGAACACATCCATTGCTTGTTATTTTTACATGTTTCATAAATTTCTTTTTTTTTTCAGTGAAAATGATGTCACACACGCTATTGGACGCTACAAACGCTACATATCCTCCGGACAGACGAGGGGTGCTGAAAGAAGGTCATATCTTAAAGCATCACACCTCAAAATTCGTGCTAATTCTCATGGATATCTAAAAGTATAACTTTGTGAAGTAACTAAAAGGCAGCAATTTATACAGTACTGACAATTTTCAAAGGAGGTCAAAATATGCAAAATGGCACTAAATGTTTTAGAAATGCTGTAGAAATATAGTTAAAATACTGAAAATCTGTCATTAATTGCTTGAAACATTATTATCAGAATCTTTTAACTTTTCTTAAAATTATAATATTTTCATTATTTTATTTGATAAGGCAAACTTTGATAGAAATGTGCATACATTGTTTTGTTCTTTAATATTTGTACATGTTTTCTTAGTTTCATTTATGTCATTGTTTTTGTAATACTTTTTGTTTTGTAATTAACTTATTTTATGTTTTATTTTGTTTAATTTATGAAAATTATTTAACCTTGCAGAATTTACTAAAATTGTATGTATCGGCTTAAAATTGCAACTTTTATCTTAAATTGAAAAAGCATAAAACATATTTTTGCTTTTAGTTTTCTGTTATACATTTCATTGGAGGGAAAGTTACTTAATAGAATGAGTTACATTAAATTCGATCAAATCAGGATTAGCCAGAAAATATTTATGACGTGGTGAAACAAAAAAGATTAGGGGAATGATCACATGAAGGTCAGAAAATGATCAGATTTAGGGCAAAAAAAGGGTTAATATTTAGGTCGGAAAATGGTCAGATTGAGGTCGGAAAATGGTTAGAAACTGGTTAGATTGAGGTCGGAAAATGGTCAGATTGAGGTCGGAAAATGGTCAGATTGAGGTCGGAAAATGGTTAGATAATGGTCAGATTTTGGTCAGAAAAAGGTTAAATAATGGTTAGATTCTGACGTCTACCTGACGTCAGATTATTACGTCAAAAAAAACTTTCAAATCCAACCGTTTTTCCGACCGTCATCCGACGTCAGAACCTGACTTAAATCTGACGTCAGTATGGCGTCTTGTGTTTGCTGGGTTGAGTTATGAAACAATTCCTAAGGATGATATTCTTTGTAGTGCATGGCACAAGAAATCGCTTGCATATTGTAGTTTTGGTGATCGGCTCAGGAGCATATTTTTATTGGATGTATAGTTTGAAATATCATGAACATAACTTGAAAGAAAAAGGTATTATATATACATTTGTATATATATATATATATATATATATATATATATATATATATATATATATATATATATATATATATATATATATATATATATATATATATATATATATATATATATATATATTAAATATATATATGCATTATTTTCTACTTATTTATTTATTTTTATTTATTACTTTTATGATATGTGTTAATTATTGTTTTTATTGATATTTAAGTTTTTTTTACAGGCGTGCAGATACTTTATGTATATTTATGTATTATAAACAATGATCTGTATAATAATTAGTAAAAACTATCTGCTTCACTTATATCCAGCGCGTCATTCGTGTACAGCGTAAACTGTCATAGAAAACTTGTACCGCTTCCCGTACCGGTATGCCAAAAATTTATCATACTAAGCATCGGACATAATTATCGTGTGTTTGCTTATATTCTGATAACACTTGCAATGTATAACAGATGATGTGATATTGAACTCGAATAATTAATCAAAATGATTTATCTTTACAGGCATATCACCCCAAAATGTCCTTAGCACAGGAGAAAGAAGTCTGATATTACAAGGAAATAAAACAACAAAGTTTACGATAAATTATGATAAACTAGTCAAAACTAACACAAAAGATAAGGAAAACAAACATGTTGTCAGTGAGCTCCCACTGTTTCAACCTCTAAAGGAAGAAGAATTTCCATCAACAGACACTGACGTCCCTCGTATTCCCCATATCATACATCAGATGTACAAGACTGAAATGATTCCTGGAATGTATACAGCTCAAGTTAAATCCTTTATTTATAACAACCCAACGTGGACATATCGCTTTTGGACAGATGAATCCGGTCGTAAATTATTACAGAAACAACATCCACATCTTGTAGGTATATATGATAAATTTGGCAATAACGTCAAAAGATCCGACATGCTCAGGTACGCAGTTCTATACGAGTATGGTGGATTTTATGCAGATTTTGACATGGAAAATTTCCGTTCACTTAACATAACGACATTAAAATATGCTTGTATTTTGCCTGTAGAACCATTTGAGCACAGCGCTTTGTTATATAACAAACACTTTATAATAAACAACGCATTTATGAGTTGCCGTCCAAAGCACCCGTTTTTCAAGCTTTTATTGGTCGGCTTACAAAATGCTGAATTTAATGGAGACCCTGTCAATACTACAGGTCCGGACTACGTCACTAGAAAATTCCTTGAATATAATAACATCAACGTGTCATCTAGCGAAATAAACAAAACCGACGGGAGTAGCAATTCTCCCTTTTTCTATAAGGGTGAATTAAAGGAAATTGACAATAACGCTGTGTATGTGCCAAATTCACAGTATTTTATGGATAAGATAGATCCGATGCTTTTAGAAACGAATGGAAAAATAACGCTAGCTTGTAAACATATCAACACTTTAACATATCTTAAACAAAGAGCTTGCTTTGAACTGTCGAGGCGTGAAAAGATTAGAAAAAATAGATTATACACTTTCACAGTACATCACTGGTATCATTTGTGGTTGATGAAAAAAGATAAAATCCATAGTATGAAAAGTACCAATATTAAAGAAATAGTCCCATATTTTATTAAATATAACGGCTGAAATAAGTGCATGCTTATTGTTTTATTTATTGTATGAAAAATGTTTTTCTATAGATCGACGCAGAAATTTAATTTTACTAGGTTTTAGAATTAACTCTGTAACATTTTGACATATTGTTGAGTTGTTTAATGAACAACAAACACAAAATCAATAAAACATTTTCTCGTAAGTACAGATTTAATCTGATGGTATTTACCATATCATACATCAGATGTACAATACTGAAATGATTCGTGGAATGTAAACAGCTCACGTTAAATCCTTTATTTATGTATACAGCTCAATGAATTAATCTGTCGGTACCTTTTTTGGAATGAATCATAGCATCTGGGTATCAACATGTATGTTTTACGATTTTGTCATTGAATGCATCTTAATACAAATCGAGTTTAACGATAATATCATTTTAAATTGATGTCACTTTTAATTTAGCCTAGTTAACTAAACACCGTTAATGATGCTAGATAAATAGATTTTTGTTTGGCTGTATTGCCTACTTTAACCATCGTAAGCCGCTAAGCGCGAGTTATAAATATAACGTCGATAATCATGAATATTATAAGGTTCATATCGGCTGTATACTTGGATGCTTCAATAGTGTAGTCTGATTTTGATTGTCAATTAATGGAAGTAATTTAATATGCAAAAGTAAAAATTCATCATGAAGATCTTATTACAGATTATATGGCCGTTCAATCATTTATATTGTGTCATATATGCCATGTACAATTTTATAGTACATGTACGATTTTCATCATTGGATGTCGCATTGTTAACAAAGTTTCAACAAACCTACATCGCAATGCATGTGGGAATGCCCATTATATTTTGTGAAATCATCTTCATTTCACATCAGTATGTGTTTAAAATATGAGCCTCAATATTGACAGGTAACTTGTTCAAAATAATTTGATTTAACACTTTGTCTGATGGAAGTACAAGTGACGACTATTCACCACTAAACAGATCTGTTGGTAGCTCAGCTTTGATACTTTTATATTGAAATCCCATAATCTTTGAATGGACTGTTCTAAACCCAAAGCTGGGTAAATCAATTACTCAAATACGGCAGGTTAAGTTTAAGTGTTTATAATATCCTCAAACTATGCAATCACAGTATATCATGCTTTGTGGTTGTATAAATTGCCTGAATACCTATACCTGAGTACTTGTAAAATTTTAAAACAAACATTTTTTTGATAGTTTAGGTCGTTTATGTCAAGACTAGTACTATTTACTTAAAGGAGTAAATAGTATTATTGTTAAAAATGAAAAACCATAACAGCATATCTATGGTTAGGTATGACAAGAAGTTTCTTTGACAAAACTTTTTATTAGTCAGATCAATTTTTTCAAGGATACATGTGGGTTTATATTCAATGACTTTCCACATCCCTTGATTTATGCATCTCTATTTTGCTCAGAGACAAAATGGACACCTAAACTTATGATAATAAATGCACCAAATATCATTATATTTGTTGTATTATTTCTTTTTGTTTGAACCCGTATTAACGTACCTGAAATTAGAATTATCCGAAATTCCGTACTTTACATGAATAAAATCATGTGAAGCAAAGATCATAGACACCTGATCGTACACAACAGAAAACCTAAATTCTTAGTCAATATGTACCCGAGTTCAATTTTATTTTTATTTATATTTATATTGGTTATTAGATAATGAATGTCAAATAAAACAAAATTATATCAACAATATTATTTAAGTTCCTTTTTTTTAAATACTAAGGAAATATCGGACATACCTGCAAACATAAACGAAATAGAGTTTGTTACATCTAAAAACTGCACTGACATGCCTTTACAGACTCGGCCCAGTCAATGTTTGCTCTCATTATTCTATAGTAAATCTGTGACATCTAGGGCTTAATTCTGGACGCCAATAAAACTCGGCAGATACTTGTACTACAAAACTTCAAACATCAACACTAGACAGATCAATCAAAGTTCGAAATATTATGTTAGCTATCTAGATTTCACAATATCTTTTTAATTGATAAGGTTACAGTCACAATATCAAAGTTTCAACTGTCATGACGAAATGTTTCCCTGTCTGCGCTTTTACAGTTTTCTCTTGACTCAATAAAATATTAGGTTAATTGCAGTGTTTTTAATTTCTTGAAGTTTATCAAATGAAAGTTGCTCTCTGTAACGTTCTGACATATATTAGCAGCTTATATAATTTATATAAAGAACATATTAACATACTGTAATTATATTCAAATTCTACTTTTTTTACATTAAGGAGATATACTTTAATCTCCACTTAATCCATAGTTTCAATACTGAACATGTATATAGAACAAAACATTTTTAAAATGTGACAGTATTAAGTTAATCATTTGGATAATCACAAAAACTGATTTAAGACTGCGGAAAATTCATTGAAGAGCTGAATGCTTTTCAAGTGACATTTAAAGAAATTTCAGTTAAAATAACTTTTTTCGACTCCCACCAAATGGTGCCTGCGGAAAGATACAGTGTTTCATCCTCCATGGATTCGTCATCTTCTAGTACCATGTACCGATATGATGCATAAGTCGGGTGTTGCATTGCATTCTACAATCGATCTGTTATGACAATCCCCTTTTTGGCGATTGTCGCTGAAAAACTTTTTCAAGAGAAATAATTTTATCTTGTTCAGCTGGCTTCTATGAAGAGGGAACAGGAGACTGTTAGCTTCTTTGTATATTCCATTTTCTTAAGAGTGAGGCATTTATATAAGCTGATTTTCACTGAGTCAACCATCTTTACCACTTTACTGCTGAATGGTACACCTGTCTGGAATGCCCCCTACTTTCAACAGGAAGGGAAAAATGTTTAGAAATCTTTTTACGGGGAATTTCTTTTTCCGTCACCTACACGGGACAAGATTTGAAGATAGGGTAACGAATGCCTCCACTGTAAGCACATTTATTTCATGGTGACGAAATTTTGAGCATTTAAAATATTGCTTCGGATTTGGAACATTTTCTGGATTAGGAAGTGTGCACTCAATTTGCATAGATTCCAACAACTTTGTTTGTTTTAAGAAAGCATGGCAATGTGACAATTTCTTTTTAAGCATATATTTGGAACTCTATTTTGTGAAAATTGATCATCACTCTAATGATATACAATAAAAAACATTCCTGATTTTGTTTTGCCTCTCCCAAATATAACCAAATTCATATATGCCTATATGAGTCATTTGTAACCCATTTTTGCCTTACTTATGTAAACATAGTTATAGCACTATGGTATGACAATATAAATAGGCACTATAAGGAAATGACGACATAAGTCAAGTCAGTTATGTGCCTTAAGGATATTCGCATGCAAACTTTAATCAAAATTTACCAGACGGTTTACAAGTTATAGACACCTTTCTAACTAAAGTTTGGCAATAAAAAGGAATAATTTTCAGACATAAAGAAACTCAACAAAGTTGAGATCGTTGAATTTGTAGCTATTCAAAGTGGAGAAATAAATTAAAGGGTTCTACCTTAAAATTTAATGTTACACGTTCTTTAAAAGACGGAATATTATTTTTTTAAAAAATTGTTGATGAAAAGAGATACAGGAAAAATTAAAAATATGAAATTAACAAAAATCTGCTTGACGTCTGTAACATTTAAATTTTCCTATATTACAATACCTTTGTATTTACCTTTACAATAGTTAACTTACCTCATGTTTCTTTTTTAATACTTTTATGTACATAACCGAAAATAATATCAAATATCCTATCTTTATTTGTCCCTTTTTTTGCTTACTCAGTATTTGAATTATAAATATGCGTACTTTTGTACATTAAGGTATGACCATCCTAATGCAATACCTCCGCTTTGAAGAGGATTCAAATAGGCTAGTTTTCCTATTCACTACATTGAAACTTAGGGCCGTGGGTTCAAACCCCAGAAGGGTCAACTTTTGTCTTTCTTTATTTTTCTTTTAACATTATATATATTCACCGAATGTTGCAAGTTTTGTCAAAAATAGACAAACCTATAATTCGTATGGAGTTGATATCAGTGCTATTTTTTCTATATTCAATTTCAATAAATGATTGTTTACAAACATTGACAATAAAGTACATGTAATTTTATGAAACATAGTTTGTTTACATGTACTAAAATACCTTTATCAACGGATACTCTGATGTCTTTTGCCTCCTTTCTCAGTTTTCTTCCAATCACTTGTCTGCACTGCTTCCCCTTTACCTTCCTTACATAGACATTGATTGTATTACTAGATTAACTGCGATACTTTTATTCTGTACTAATTGCTTTATGTATTCAAAAGTAGTTGTATTTCATTTTTTTCCGGAGAACTCAATTCTGAGAGTTCAAATAAAAAAACAACAAAAAACGAGATAAAACAATATTTGAATCAGTTATTGGATGTGAAGAGATTAGTAAAATAGCAGAAGTTTACTAATTGTATACTAATTTCTACCAGCCGATACATTGCAATTTTAAGTTATAAATTATTTCAATAAAATCAAAAGAAAAAGATTAACTTAGACATCTTCTTTGCAAGATATGTTGTAGTTACTTACATAGCACAGGTTGTAATGAATTATATACAAAGACTATAAAAGGAGCATTGTTATTAAAAGAATAAAGAAATATCAATAATGGGTAAATGACAACATATTTTCATAGCACTATAATATTACTTTAATGACAATGTTTTAGAACATGTTCTATAAACAAAGCACTTTGATTTTGTCTGAGATGATCAATACAAAAATCATAATAATTGTAAGCATGTAAAAGTATTAAATTTGATATGATTTTTGTCATCTATCTATGGCAAACATACTACAACAAGCAGATGATATCGTCAGACAATCACATCAATAATTATATTTTATATAGTTTGGCACTATACTAGTTATATTGATATATTTCAGTCTCTTGACTCTCTTTTTCTTCTCACTCCATAGATGGTACCAATGATGTACTGTGAATGTATATTTCTTATTTGTCCTGACTTGAACACGGCTAATTAATTCCGCACATGCTCGTTGTTTCAAATACGTCAAAACCATGATGTTGGAACAGAGTTTTCTGACTTTTCCTTTTGGACGAATAAGGCCCGGATCCATCTTGTCCATAAAATATTGTGAATTGGGGACGTAAACGGCATTGTCATCGACTTCCTTTAAATCACCTTTATAGAAATAGGGAGAATTACTGCTCCAGTCCGTTTTATTTCTATTTGCAGCTACATGTGATATATTATTGTACTGTACAAAAACTCTTGTAACGTACCCAGGTCCTGTTATCTCAACAGGATTTCCAACCGAAGAGGCTGTATGTAAACCAGTCAAGAGTCGTTCTAGAAACGGATGTTTAGGGCGGCAACCCATAAAGGCGTTATTTATCAAAAAGGACATATTGTACAACAAGGCACTGTGCTCAAATGGTTCTACAGGGAATATACACGCATACTTCGTTGTTGTGCTGTTAAGTGAACGGAAATTTTCCATGTCAAAATCTGCGTAAAATCCTCCAAACTCGTATAAAACAGCGTATCTGAGCATGTCAGATCTTTTTACACTTTTTCCAAATGAATCGTATGCTGTTATAAGGTATGGATGATATTTTTGCAGCAATTTACGACCAGATTCATCAGTCCAAAACCGGTATTGCCACGTTGGATTGTACTTAATAAATGATCTCACGTGTCTTATATAGTTTTCAGGAATCATTTCATCCACATATATTTGATGTAAAATGTGTGGAATACGAGGAACATTCCTGTTTGTTGATGGAAACTCCTCTTCTTCTTGAGATTGAAACAAAGGTAAACGGTTGACTGCCTCTGCCCTTGAAAATTCTGTAATTCAACGAAACATGTTCCTACTTCAACACTGATATTTTACATCGATATATTTTTCTGAACATTTATATGATCATCGCTGAAAGCGATGGAAGTTCCTCGAATATACACATTATCAATGCTTAAAGAAAAACAAGAATAAAGATCAACAAGGTAAAGGCAACATTCACAGGGCGCAGCCCCCCTCCCCGACACACCTAAGTAGGGCACCCAGAAGGCACAAAACTCCTAAGTCTCTAAATCTTTTTAGCGACAGTGACATTGAACCCAAATGACCCCTAACTCCAGTCACAGTATGATGACAAGGTATCACTCTACTAAATATGATAGCCAGTCAATAAATCAAGTGTAAAAATATGTAACCTTGATCTTGACCCAATTGAACACTTTTCCACCTTCCAAAGTTACAGTACCAATCAAATATTCACCTACTAAATAAGAAATACTCTAAATAATGGCTGTATTAGCAAAAGTATCAAAATCAATTTGTAGTATCGGTGACCCCTTGGCCGAAGTGTCGGAAGCCCTATTAATTCATCCAAAGTTAGAGGGCCACTCAAAGTATTTACCTACTTTATATGAAAGACATTAATATATAAACAGAAGCTTTATGGGCAAATGTGAAAAAAATAACATTGACCTTAGAGACAAAAGTAAGAAGACCATCCAAGGTGAGTTTCTCTACAAAATATGAAAGACAATCAATCATAAAGAAAAAAGTACCTAGCATTATAAAGTATATAAAGGGAGATTTTTGAAAAATCAAGTAAGGTAGCATTAAGATCTTTGACCACAAACACTATTTATGTGCGATGTATTAATAAAATCATTTCAATAATTTTTCAATTAATTCCCTCAAAAACAAAGATATGTGGAGGTATAATTCTTCATTCTGCACTTTCCCTGACTAGTTTATATCAAGAAGCAACTCTTTGTGAATATCCGTTTTCCAAGACATTGGATAACATGTCTGCTTCAACAACGTCAAGCAAATATTAATATGACGCGCTTTTAAGGCAAACAAATCTTCAGAAGTCGTATTAGTCTCAGTAATGCAACGTGTCAAACGACAAAAAAGCGCAGCAAGTAAAATAAACATTAAAAGTCATTTAAACTAAAATCTAGCAGTGCTGCAATTCCAGCAGTGCATTCCTTAAGAAGAGAATTTCTCAAGAGGTGCAGTAGGTCTTGTTGTGTAAAAAGTCCAATAAGCTGGCGGGTCCGAAAGTGCAGTAATTTAAAACTTGGCGCATGCCTAATAAATGCAACAGGTTTGGGAATTAAGATTTACGTAAATTATGGCTTGTCATCAAACTAAACCGAATAAAGAGAAACTTGTTTTACCTGTATACAATGTCAATAAACGGTGGAAAATCCAAATTCCAGCTATAGCTAAAATAAAACAGTTATATCCTTTTCTTTTCTTGATACCTAGGTGCGTAACATGAACCATTTTCCCTAAAATTTATACAATGTACACAAAACTTGCATATAGCAGCCACGGTTGATACACCAATTAGGAAATTCCCTCGTAAATCTTATCTCAAGATCTCTTTATATGCATTTTTAAGGGCTCTCTAGACAGATTTTATGATAAAATGATTTATGAATGCAAATTTGCGCCGAATATACACCGGTAAAAATGCACCACATGTGAAACGTATGTGACACACATGTTTTATATATAGTAGAAACATATGGTGTTCCAAACATACAACAAACATGTGGTGCATTTTTACCTGACGTGTGTAACATAACAATTTCAAGGCTTTTGTTTTATTGAGCCTGTTGCTAGAAGGCAGCGGAAATGCAAGCTACCATCAAAGTCCACGGACAAACAGTTTCAAAAGGATCCCAATTTCAAAAAATAATATTTAGTTTAATAAAAAATGACATGTTCTCGTTGCATTGAATGTGGTAAATTATCATTTTAACAATACAAAAGCATTAAGATTTACTTATTTTTTATCTCTTTATGTTAAGCTTTCAAAACTTAGATTTGCTAAATAACCGATCAAAATAGAAACAAATAGATATAAGCATTACTTGTTTTTCTGTCTTTAACTATAACTCATTATAGAGACCTCATTTTCATATATGATTTTAAGTACTTATAAAGGAAAAATCTGTTTGCATATTTGTAAAGGTATATTAGATCTACTATTAATATCTACAAAAACAATCACTATTGCGTCCAATACGTGACGCAATACTGTATTTATGTAAAATTTAATCATGAATATATAGATTTGTTTCCCTTTCATTCATTCACCTTTTGTTTTGAATATGTGAGAAACGTTTTTTAATGTTATGAATGTTATGTTTAACTTATAATAAAAAGATTGAATGGCATTATGCTTTCATCAAGAAATGTCCTCATTGCATTTGTATATGTATTGTTATCATGAATCAAACATTAAGAAGTTTAAAAGGAGTACATGTTTCAGAAATCAAATAGAAAAAATAAACTTTTCACTTTAAGTTTTTTTTCTTCACTCCCTTTGTTTTGTTTGTTTAAATCAAGACGCATTTTGTGAATTTACTAAATGATGGTTACAAATACATTTTTTAAGTGATTTGACTTGTTTATGGCGTAACGATTCGTGATTGTAAATTTCTATCCAAATACAATGTAAATTTATTCATTACAAAAACGTATTTACATGAATACTTTAAATTACATTGCGATAACATATTCGCCCAATGTTAACAACGTTCACAAATAAAATGATTATATAAATACAGTAGCATGGTGTTATCTAAGGTACAACAGAAATTAAAAAAAAACCTTTCCATGATTGTATCTTCTGTTAAAACTAACTTTAAACATTATTGCTGTCGTGTAGAAAAAAAAAACAGTTCATTTATGCCTATCAGAAAACATATTTATCAAAATATTTTAATTTCCTAGGTTAAAAATACGGCAGTGCCATTTATAACAGAGTTACTGTAGAGCTTACCATTAGGGCGATCGCGACACATACCTAAATCGAAACAACGAAAAAAAAACGAAAATACGATGGTGAAAAGATGCGATGACGAAAGGTCAAAAGTACGATGGTGAACGATCGAAATAACGAAACCACGATGGTGATAACTCAATATAAGTTCGATGTTTCGTTATTTCGCTTTTCACCATCGTATTTTCATGTTTTCGTTCCAGATATCCAGTGTGATACAATTTGTGCATGCGATGGATGCATTGATTGTTGGACAATAAGGAAAGATATATAATAGAGAACCGTACCTTGATCTTCAACCATCTATTTTATCTAAGCATAAACTAGTTAGCAGAGGACTCAGCTTAAGTTATTGTCGCACCGCAGTAATAACATGTCTGTGACAGCTGTTCGAAGTCTTGCATTCTCGCAGGCTAACAAAATCTGTCGTAGCTGTTTTTAACATTTCAAAACACCTAAAGACTGGTATTATAATCTTACACCATCTTACGTGAAAGCACGTTTGTTTGGTGCTACCTTTCCTTTAATTATTGGGCCCTGCTTTGTTCTAGGTTTTTCTTCGTGAATCTACCCGTTAAAACGATATCCTGTTGGGGTTGAAACGCACTCAAATTTGCGACGCAGTATTGTCGCTTATATACATCTCCTGCATTGAAGTGCACCTGTTTTAATCAGTACTGCTCAGCGTACATACTCGTTCAATGACCAAGGTCTGTCATGGCCAATTATTGACATTTTGGTAGAATACATGTATGCAAAATACAATGTCATTCAACTAAAATGTCAGCAAAACAGGTCGGAATAAGAAGGAGACAGAAACTCTCTAAGGAAATGCCTGCTGATGATACGGATTTTGGAGTTCCCGACGAGGATCACGCCTGTGCTTGAATAAAAAGATTGGTAGTCTAAAAGGTACAGAAAGACGACCAAGATCAGTCTACTGGGGTGCCATTGGCACCATTTGTTCAACTATGTTACCGATGTTTATCATAGTATTGTAAAATCCGTAAAGTCACCTGTTGGCACTAATTGTAATTAATGTAATTGTAATTTAGTACTGATACCATTGGAAATACTCCGAACGACGCTGTTAATGTCTATCTACTTATAATATTGAATATAATCCTGACTTTCATATTTTTGAACTAGATATTGTTCTACCGGAAATTTCGTATTGCTTGCTATGCATATATACATACTCGTATATTTTCAATACAAAAATACAAAGAAGTCGCTGTGCTCAGTTATTTTATATTTCATTCCGATTGTCCCCATATGAAAGTCAATATATTTTCAAGTGTTTGATGTTTATTGCAAGTATCAAAAATTAAAAGTAGTAACAAGGTATTTTAATAAAATATACCTACTGCAACTTTAAAAATTTCTAAACAAACATTTTACGATTTAAGTTATAACGTGTTATTTTAGTAAATTTTTCCAAATTTAACAATGGAAGATTATGAATCAAAACGTAACAACACCCTCTTCTTATAAATGTTGAAGAGACCAACATCAATACTTTATAAAATTGTATAAAATGTTGAGCTGACGCATAGTTCTCTAACTTTGCATATATCGGTTTTTCCTATAGAAAATTACATTATACAAAACGTTAATGTTGTCATCTCAAGTGAGATATAATCAGGTACTACTGAATATAAGGCATGCTTTATTTCCTCTCCCAAAATGACTTGCCCAATACACAACCGATTTTGACGAGACACCACTGCATTTAAATATTATCAAAAACCTCTTCATGTTTTATAAGATCATTTCGATACAGTTTTATTTTTTATCAGTTACAACTGGGACCGTTAGGTACGGGGCGCAATAAAACAAGCCATTTGTAACAAGTGATTTAGATCACGTTTCATGCTAATAATTTATTATTGTATAACATTTTAGTATAGTTGACGGTTTCAAAACATATAAAGGGGTAAACTTTTTTATTTAAGCAATATTGATCCTTCACCAAATGTAAATATAAGTTTAAAATATTTTTACACGGAAGAAAAAAATGAAGAGTATCTTAACGCAACAGAATAGAGCACTCCATCAGTAATAAAAGTTCTCAATGGGAAATTTGATATCTTCAAAGTTATCAACACAACATTTGATAAATCTGGTACATAATATTGCACATAATATGAAGTAGGCTACTACATATGGTAAGGAAGAATAACATTAATGTATAGTAAAGTTTAAATGAATAATTTAAATGGATAATTTGAATATATAATGTATGACTCATAACTAAATACATTTAGCAACCTCAATCCTCAGCCCCCTATAATGTTACACCTCATTCTCTATTTTACATAAAATAAACATCATTTTGATAATTTGTCTACTTGTATTGACTTAATTGCGAACTATGCAAGGAGTGCTGGTTCAACTTGGTATGCACTGGTCGCCAGCAGTTAAGGGTTAACAAAAATATCTGCTGACTTTTGATATGCAATGTTTTAAACTATATTTTTAATCTGTATGATAGACGGACGGAAGAACAGACAGTACTGTAGGCAAACTGAATCCCTAATACAATACATATAACGTGATTTGTAAAAGAAATTATCAAGGCCTAGCTTTCAATTTTTTTTTCGGAAAAAAATTCTTTTTTTTCTTTGGGTTGAAAAATTTTATATTTTTTGGACGGGAAGGGTGCGAAATAGAAAAAGCCCCAAAATAAATGAGGAAATAGTGAGGAAGAAAGTATTAACAATATAAAGGGTTGATTGATATATTTTGTTTTGGAAAATGTTTTCAACCCAAAAAGAATTTTATCCCAAAGGGTTCCCAAAGAAAACCCCGTTTTCAAAAAAAATAAAGATTCCCTGACTTAAAACGTAAATTTTTTAATAATATAAAGTTGCATAATTTTTAAAATTTTAAAAAAACCCTTAATGAAAAAAAATATATACATTTTTTGAAATATACTATTTATACTGCACTTTTGATATGTGTGTATAAAATAAAAATTTTTTATTTTGAATTTTTAAATTAATGTCGAGGGGTATAGGGTTTTAAGGGGCTTATCGGACCCATTGGGGGCGTTTTTATGTAAAATCATTTTTTTTCGTGTTTTTTGAAAATTGTCATGTACATGTAAACTTTAATATTAACTTATTTTTGTTTGTTTTTTTTGTTTTGGGTTTTACTTTCACATCGAACAGTATGGGTTTCATATCGCGATCGTTAGCTTTACTGTGTGGAGGAAGACCTCAGTGCCATCCGCTGCATTATTTCAGGCACGAAACGGGCACCTGAGTAGAACCACCGACGTTCCGTAAGCTATAGCTCCCTCACTTTACTTTTTACACACTTAAATTTTTTTATACGCATTTTTTAAAATGTTATTTTTTAAAATTGTCATTTTTAAATTGTTAAAGTATCACAATTAGTTTATACGAATGTAATTTTAGTTCGATTGTGTCGGAAGCTATAACCTTATTGAAACACTCCCGAATCCATTCCTGAAACCAACCAGTACTAAGCAATGAATGTAAAGTTTCTTGCTCACGGAAACAACGGTTTGCCCCTGACGGGGTTTACCCGAGTCGCCAGCAATCCTTAGATAACTAGTCCGACGAGTTAACCACTCAACCTCTCTGAAAAGTATCACAATTGAAGTCATCAATTTCATATCACGTGTATTACGAATAATGGGAGCATGTCCGATGTTTTTACGATTGTGTGTATCTTATAACTTTCGGAACTATACTGCTAATATTTACCTTTTTGAGATTACTTGCAGAGCTTTTACTCATTTCCCATAAGTGATACCAATGATGTACTGTGAATGTATATTTTTTATTTTCTCTTACTTTTTTCCGTCTATGAAATTCAGAGCATGCTCTTATGTACATGCCTGATAAATTTTGAGTTTGTTTACAGAGTTGGGTAAATTTCCCATTTTCAGTTACATGAACAGGATCTAAATTATCCATGAAGTATTGCGAATTAGGAACGTAAACAGCATTGTTGTCGGTCTCTTTTAATTCTCCTTTATAGAAATATGGAGAATTACTGCTCCACTCCGTTTTATTTCGTAGACTTGGGAAATGATTCATATTATTGTACTCATAAAATATCCGAGTAACGAAGCCTGGGCCCGTAGTTCCAACTGGATATCCACTTGGGTGGGCATAACGTAATTTAGATAATAGAAGTTTAAAAAACGGGTGCTTAGGACGACAGCTCATGATTGCGTTGTTCATCAGAAACGGCATACCGTTTAATAAAACACTGTGCTCAAATGGTTCCACCGGAACAATGCATGCATATTTCATTGTACTTATATTAAGAGATCGCAGATTATCTATGTCTAAATCGGCATAGAAGCCTCCATATTCATAAAGAACAGCATAACGTAGTAGATCGGACCGTTTAACGTTACTTCCAAAATTATCATATACATCTACAAGATATGGATGATGTTTTTGTAGTAATTGACGACCAGATTCATCAGTCCAAAAACGATATTCCCAAGTAGGATTATTTTGTATAAATGACCTTACATGATTAATGTACATTTCCGGAATCATGTCGCCCGCGTACATTTGGTGTATGATATGAGGAATACGAGAAACACTCCAGTTTGAGGACGAAAACTCTTCTTCATCAGCTGATTGAAAAAGCAACGGGTATGCCTTTTCCACTGGGACTTCCATTGATGTTTTCGTTATATCCGACTTGTCTATTCTAGAAATTGATTGAGTTCCGTTGATAGATAATGTATTTCTTAAACTTGCGATCGTGGTCTGTTGGTTTTCAGTAGATTTGTTGGATGTTTGCTTTTCTAAGTTGTTGTTGTCGTACATTGTAAAATTATGTTTCGATGAGTACATTGTGTTGACTTGTTCATCTGGTGTTATTGAGATAGGAAGTTGGTGCTCTTCCTTCGATTTTATGTTTGAAGATAAACCTAGAGCAAAAAAGATAATCAGTTAATGCAAAATAATAAAAGTAGCCATTTGATTGTAAGGTAGGCGAGGAGACAATGTACATGTATTTTGCAAGTAATGTATCTTTAGTAGGTAAAAAACATACACTTTGTAGGCTTTAAAGTGTATTTAAACATGGAAGAGAAGTTTATTTGAAATATCTCTTTCAAGAAATATTCTTTCAAGAACCATGAATTTTACATGATTTGAATTCCAGTTTTGATCGATATAGCCTTTGCGAAAAATTCATTTTAATGTTTAGCGCTCTAAGTAATTGTGCATTGATCTGTAAAGTATACGTGTTTAGATAGTGTTATCTTTTGTCACTGTAGTAATGTGTTCAGTATACAGTATAATTGCATATACATGTATATTGAATTATTTAAAGCGTGTTACCATGCGGAAATTTAGCTAGTAATGAAATACAGGGTTTATCGATTGCATGTGTTACAGCGTCTAGATCCCGACATGGAAACAGAATTGTGTGTCAAACAAGCTGTCTCTTATAACAATTCGTTTTTAGAACGTTCATATTGATTAACGCTCATTTGAGCCGCGTCATGACAAAACCAACATAATGCGTTTGCGACCAGCATGGATCCAGATCCATGCTGTTCGCTATCAGTTTCTCTACTTGTTATAGGGTTTGTAAGCGAACAGCATGGATCCTGATCAGACTGCGCGGATGCGCAGGCTGGTCTGGATCCATGCTGGTCGCAAACCCATTATGTTGGTTTTGTCGTGACGCGGCTCATTTTATGTACAATTTGTTTTATTCTTTTAATATATCAGTGTATTATATCTGATATAATCAGTATACTTAATATAAAGTAGTATATTTTTAAATAAAGACCACTCTGGGATTCAAACGAATGTGAATATGTCATTTATTTTGAAAACAAGACAAAATAATCATTACAATAAAAAATTTAACCAGAAATTATGTTTCTTCCTCATATCAAAAAGCATAACATTTTTGTTTTATCTTTTTAAGGGTTATAATACCTTCAGCATGAACATATTCGTATAAAATGACCAAAATGAACAGTTGTCGGAACATATCTAAGCGTAGATAAATAATATCAACTAATGACACCATTCTACAATTAAGACCATTTTGGTTTTGACCCGTTGGTGGTCTTAAAAGAAGTTTGTTACTGTGTATGTGATTAATGGATGTTGCTTGTATAATAATAAATGTAATCAATTACAAATTACTTGACACTCATGTGAATTGGATAAATTAATGTATTTGTAAAATAGGAATAGCAGTTAGCAATGAACAATTAAATCAACTCTATTTCAAGTTTATAAGCAAATCAATGATGAACATTGTATTTTTCCATATACACAGATACATTACAATACGTATATGCAAAGGCATATGACAAAGACATTTATAACATAAATATAAACATGAATACATTTTAAAACTGGTACATTTAATCAAATACACCAACAAATGCTGAGATCTTTTGTCTTATTTCATGCATAAAATAAAATCTTCTTTTATAGCATTTTATTTTACATTCTGCATAATTGTTTTCTTTAAAATTATCAAAAATATGTAAAAATTATATATTACCTTTATCCAGCGGAATTTCTTTTGTAAAATCGCTGAAAACCCATACACCTATTATTACTAAGACGAAACAAAGTATGTTTATTTCCTTCCTGAAACTGCAATATCTACGCAAGGACATCCCCTCAAGTGTGATAAACAAGTAACAAATATTAAAGTAACATTTAGTATTGACATACAGGTCATCAAATGATATCCTACCTCTCCAACTAAAAATATATTTTACCCGACCATGCAGGATTAATTTAAGATAGTTATCGGTGGGTTTATAAAATAGCGCTAGGTGCACTGAAACACACTTCTGACACAACACCCAAGTTTTAAATATAAACGGTTATTATTGAATGGATATCAGTGAAATTTAAAACATAAATAAACAACACCTTATACTTTATCTGTATTTTTTACGACAAGCTATAAACAAAATAATAAACTATGATTGCTAAAGCCAAAAATGGCAAAAACTCGTAACATCAGTTACTCACGACATCAAACGACTATTCAATAACAGCAATTAATGCCGAATAAATTCTAACAGACATCACATATTTACGTGTTCGCCCTTTTATCAGGGCCTAATTTATTTACGGAACCGTCCGCAGCAATACGACTGGCTTTCCTTTTAAGAAATTCGGCGCAAATTTAAGTGTCTGATTTTAAATGGACTGTCAGATCGCGCAACGGTTTAAGTTTCAAGGATATCATTTGCTTAAATTTGCAGTGTTTTTTTATAAAGTATATATAATTAAAATAAAAAGTTTTAGAGCACACCAATTTCATCGTATTCATTTATGTTCTATGTGTGGGTGGATCTTATCATTTTCACAATTGAATGATTTTGTTAAAATAATGTGAAGAAAGTAGGCAAAGCGGTCTGGTGAAGTGTTATAACATATAACAAGTCATATCAATGAAAATCATCTTAAAACGTGTTGTATTTCATTGTATGTATCTTTGTAAATGTTTATTCAACTTGAACGGTTGTGGCGTTTTTTGCTTTTGGTAAGATTATTTACATATGTCACACATATTTTATGTCCGGGTGTTTTATACTATGATTTAAAATAATATGATATCTGTTAATCAGTAGTTGATGTCATGGTGTTATTTATCCAACACCATACAGTAATTCGTGAAATACCACAACATGTCCCTCGTAAGTTTTATAAACACCTCCAAATGAACATGATTATTTATATTTTATTTTTATAATTAATTGAATGAAAAAAAAAAGAATAAACTGAATTCATTTTAAGATAGTGCTGGTGATTATCGATTGTTATATGTATAACACAGCTACTGTAAAATATTTTAAACATTTCCTGCAACATTTTAGACAACAAAAACAACAACAACAAAGACGTCTTTCTTGCAAATGTCCTTAGTAAATTTAATACCCAACATTAAAATTTTAGGATCTCCTTCCATGTGTTCTTCAGCAATTGTCAAATTTGACAATGTAAGTGATTTATCATTAGTGATTTAGGAAGGCCAGTGTGCCGCAGAAAGAAAAGTACCTATCGTGAATAAAACATACAATTCCGTTTGCAATGAGTTTGGAATGTGCCAGTAGAAATACGAGAGGAGTTCACTAAGTTCGTAGAATTTCTGAAATAAGTCACATGAGATTATTCACCAAATATTGTTTACTTGGGCACTATCAAACTTGATGTACTGTATACCTATGCCTCTAGAGCTCTTGGTCTTGTTATATCCAAAAGCAAGGCATTTAATTTGGTGGTTTTCAGTACTCTACATTTATAAAACTTTATGATTCAATGGTATGGCCCATAATTAATTACAGTGCCCCGATTTGGGGTGATTAATCTTACTCGTGCATTAATGCAGTTCATCATAGGGCCATGCGTTACTACTTGGGTGTTGGAAGATACACTTCGAATGTGGCTGTAAGTGGAGAGATGGGATGGAAACCACCAATTGTTAGACAGTGGGTGTTTGTATTTAGACAGTATTTTAGAGTTATTAATATGGATGATAATAGAATTAATAAGTCTGTATATATGTGGTCTAAAGCAAGTAATGTCAAGAATGGTTTTTACCGACTTAAGAAACTTTTAAAAGATATTGATAGTGTTCACGTACTAGAGGCTAATATCGGAAATGCCAAACCTACCATATCAATGCTAGAATCTAAACTTATGGATATAGAAACAAATAAATGGAAGTTATTACCTGAGACAGAAAATGCCTTTAGAGGAAATGGCGGGAATAAATTAAGAACTTACAGGAAGTTTAAATCTCAGTTCTGCACTGAAAAATACCTTACGTCTAAGTTGCCATTTATGTATAGATCAGTCATTACAAATTTCAGATGTGGTGTAGCACCACTAAGAATAGAAACAGGTCGTTATGAAAATATTGATTTAATAAATAGAAAATGCTTTAACTGTCCGGACACTGTAGAAGATGAGAAACATGTATTACTTTACTGTCCATTATATAATGATATAAGGAAAGAGTTGGTCTCTGCGGTAGATGATGTATTAAGAAATAGAGATATTGTTTCTGATGATGACAAAATGGTAACAATGTTTAGTAGTGAAAACCTAGTATATTTATCTGCCAAAGCCTGCCAGAGAGAAAAAGAAAATTGTACTGTAAATCATGATTCTTTTATATGTTTTTATGGATTATCGTTTTCACAAATATGTAAATAATGGTTAGTAACATTTTAGATAGATTTTATGTTTTTTAGAAACATATTCAAGAAGTAGGTTTCAATAAGTAGACGTGATAAAAATTCCTAATTTAAGATTTTTTTATTTCTTTTATTGATATAGGATACCGCTCTAATGCGTAATATTGAGCTTTGCCTTGATGTTATTCATAAGTATTTGGTTGGAGGCTGCTTCTTGAATTGAACCATTGTAACAGATATAGTTGTATTAACATACAAAAAAGGTCTTATGATACTATAGGACTGCAATGTTTAGTCATAAATAAATCACACTTTCTTGTTTATTGCTTTACACCCAATCTTATTACTATTTAGGTAAAGCACACACACATATTATATCAAGGGTATAGTTTTTGGATGAACGTTCGGATGTGTGTATAGGATCTGCATATATCTGGGCGTTTCTCGGAACACTGTAAACTTGTACACCGCTGTAACCATTCAAATCTTACAACCAGCAATATCAACACAAACTACACAGAATTTCAACTAAAATAAATACAGTCTGGTTGTCTCAACACTTCACATTAATTTAAAAAAAGAAAAATTACCTGGTTTTATTTTTAAGTAATTTTGTAGATATGTCCTGTATGTTAGATTTTGCTATAAAGTTATGTATAGTCTCTTATAACTCATCTTTGAGTGGCATTTATGTACAATGTCGTAGGTTTTATATTTGTATTGTTTTAATATTGTACATGATGATGAGACTTTAATAAACTATCTTATCTTACCTAAAATTACACTTTATCCTAGTTCTTACCCGCCTAGAAGATTCTATCATAGAACTTTTCTGTTTTAGGTGTGATAACCTAATTAAACAAATTTCTTGCATAATTTTGTTATGATTCCATTTGTATATAATTAATGTCACCCCTACCTGAATATGTTACAAAGATGATTTATATTATAATCGCATTGATAATTATTCAACTAAAATGATCAAAACAGACTGGTCCAGCAGTTCTCTACACTTTTATGAAGGAGACTTACAAGAGATTGATAATGATGCTTTATACATGTACCTAATTCACAGTTTTTCATTAATAAAATATATAGAACCTATTAATTTATTTCCAGGTCCCGTAATTTCAATAGGGTTACCTCTAGGATTGACTATGCATAATTCAGATAAAAGCAGCTTCTAAAACTGGTCCCTAGGGCGAGAACCCATTAAAGCGTTGTTTATTAGCAAGAAGAATTGTTGTACAACGCAATACTTTGCTCTAATAGTTCTACAGGAATCATACAAGCATATCATAATGTCGTTCTATTAACGGAACGGAAATGATAAAATCTGCGTAAAATCCTATAAATTCTTATTGGACTGCAAATATGAAATATATAGGATCTATAATACACATAGACAAGATAGATGTTGTGTTTTTGAAGTAATTTGCGACCAGACACAGCCGCAACAGACAATAATTGATGATAGATCTGATAAATGTCTTGACGAGGCTTAATTATTTTTCAGGTTTCATTTCATCCGCATATATTTGATATAAAGTATCAAAATACAACCAACGATACTGTTTGAAAATTGTTTCAAACTAGTTTCCATTTTCTTTTGGAGATTGAAAAAGAACATAAGGGTTTTGGTAAAACTAACTTTTTTTGTAAAGATTTATATATGGCCTGTCATTAGATCATTATTATTTCTTTAATTTGTAATAGTTCTATCTACATTCGTCTTTCTCAGTAATAATGTCACCCTGAAAGATAAAAGAAAAATGAGTATAATACTTTAAACATTTGAAACGAAGAATATTTTCTTTGTCTTTCGCAACTTCTCTTGTAATGAATAGAATTCTTTTCTTTACAAGAAAGCATATAAAAGGTGTAATCAAGATGTCATATTTATGTATCATTGCTACAGTGTTTATGAAAGTAATATGATAGTTAAGATGATCTAAGAATTTATAAATGTTTACCTTTATCTAGCCAGTTTGATAATAAATTAATAAAATCTGACAACAAACAAGATGAAACAATCATATAAAATTTTGATCTGTGTACTAACATACTTTTTCTGTATCAACTGTATCAAGAAGCATGTTGACTGTAAAGTCGCGTGTGTATTTACCACACGTATATCAAGGGAATTGTATTAATAATCTTGATTGTTAAATATAGAATGACTCATGATAAATGTTTAATTCACCATAATGGGTTCCTAGAACCTTTCTTTTGTAAATATAACTTGAACAAAAATATTGCTCAAAATTATCACAAAATTATGAGACAAATGTCTGATATTTTTTCGGGGCTTTCGGGGCTATTCAGTCGGATTCAAATAATACTTCTAAATATAGAGTCAAACAAAAATTAAACAATGTTAAAGTCGGTTCTGTGCATTCAAATTTCTAGGCGCTATAGAAATTTGAGAATTATATCTGCTGTCTGATTCAGAACATGCGTTTCTGTTATCTAAATAAAACCTAGGGTTAAAACTATGATAATCAAGTCTGCTTTTATGTGCCCTGGGCGCATCTGTAGACTCTCTAGATCTCTGAACTGGACCATCAGTGAAATAATCTTGTCTTTATCCAACGTGTTTAAAACTCATACGACCACCCATGGACCTTAAAGATTTGCTTGATTTGAACTAAATTGTGGTGGGGACCTTT